CCCTGACATTACACCAAGGCCATCCTGACCAGAAGTGGCTGCACAGGGAAGCCATCTTGGCTTGTTTCTGGGAAAGATGGATCTTGATGAGGTGGTGTATTTGTCGCTGCTGGTTTTTGATGACAGAGAATATGCTTATCAGGCTCTGAGGGAGTATACCCGGGATCAACTGCTAGAATGTATAAGGATCGCTCATGTTCTAGTAGATCAGGGCACAGAGTTCTCTGAGGTGCAACCTTTGATTCAGGTTTGTGTAGAGTTGGCTTCATCTGGTGCCCCTGAAAGCAGGAATGACTTTTTGCCGCCATTTAGTGCAGACCAGGTAGAGTCCCTGGTATGCTTATTAGAGGATGATGTGGATTGCTTCTTGGAGCATTATGCTGCATGTTCACCACAGGTATTAAGGGATTGTATAAACGCAGTGCAGTCTTTGACCAGACAGGCTTTGTGTAAGCTCAGCTTTGTTCAACCCATACTGCAGACATGGACAGATTTGTTGCACCCAGCCTCAGTCAGCTTACAAAAACCCAGTCCTGCTTCTAATCTATTTCCTCAAAGCTCTATTCCTGCATTCCCAACAGCACCTCCAGTTACAGCCCAGTATACCCTGCTATCTACTGCATGTCAGTACCCTGTTCCCACTCGCTGCACCTATCCTGCCGTTAACCCTGTAAAGAAGCCCTCTGTAGCAACTGTTCCCTCCCCTGTTCCATCCTCCAGCTCTTCTCTGTCTCCAGCTGCTCCATTCGTTTGCAGACCTGCGTTTACTTGCAGTGCTCCAGTAGTTAAAACCAGAAAAAAGCGAAAATTCTTTCCAACCAGTACCATCCTGCCAGTATCCAAACCGGTGAGCCTGCCGTCTGAGAACCTGCCTTCCGTGGTTCAGCCTGGTGCCTCGGCACCCGCACTTCAGCCTGATGTCTGTACCCAGCCTGATGTCTGTACCCAGCCTGATGTCTGTACCCAGCCTGATGAACTGATCCAGCCTGATGAACTGATCCAGCCCGCTGTCATGCCTGGTGACCCAATGCCCGCTGTCGAGCCAGACGATCCAACGCCTGATGACCCAGTGCCCGCTGTCATACCTGGTGACCCGATGCCCGCTGTCGATCCAGACGATCCGGTACCTGAGGACCCGATGCCCACTGTCGAGCCAGATGATCCAATGCCTGATGACCCAGTGTCCGCTGTCATGCCTGGTGACCCGATGCCCGCTGTCGAGCCAGACGATCCAGCGCCAGATGACCCGGTGCCTGATGTCGAGCCAGACGATCCGGTACCTGATGACCCGGTGCCCGCTGTCGTGCCAATTGACTCAGAGCCTACTGTCGTGCCTGGTGACTCGGTGCCCACTGCCTTGCCAGATGACGCGGTGCCCGCTGGCGAGCCATATGACCTGATGCCTGGTGACCCAGTGCCCACTGTCATACCTGGTGACCCGATGCCCGCTGTCGAGCCAGACAATCCAATGCCTGATGACCCAGTGCCCGCGGTCATGCCTGGTGATCCGATGCCCGCTGTCGAGCCAGACGATCCAGCGCCAGATGACCCGGTGTCTGCTGTCGAGCCAGACGATCTGGTACCTGATGACCCGGTGCCCGCTGTCGTGCCAATTGACTCAGAGCCCACTGTCGTGCCTGGTGACTCGGTGCCCACTGCCTTGCCAGATGACGCGGTGCCCGCTGTCGAGCCGAATGACCTGATGCCTGGTGACCCGATGCCCGCTGTCCAGCCAGACGATCCAATGTCTGACCTAGTGCCAGCGGTCATGCCAGTTGACTCGGAGCCCACTGTTGTGCCTGGTGACTCGGTGCCTGTCACTTCGCCTGGGGGCCCGAGACCTGTCGCTCCGCCTGGGGGTGCGGCGCCCACCGCTCCGCCTGGGGGCCCGAGACCTGTCGCTCCTCCTGGGGGTCCGGCACCTGCCGCTCCGCCTGGGGGCCCGAGACCTGTCGCTCCGCCAGGTCAGGATCAAGCAGGGTCAGCAACAAGACAGGAACTGGAACAGGAACGCAGGTTTACAAGATACAGGGCCCATGAAAAACACACACACCAAGGCAAAGACTGCAGGTCTGGCCATCACTTAAATACACCTGCATAAGCAGTTTGCAGGTGTTTGGCTGGCTGCAGGGTTTTAGTCTCTGATTGCTGGGAGCACCCGCTGGCCAGCCCTGGTACTGCAGCCCACAAGGCAGGTGAGTCCCACCATTACTGGCAAGTCCATTCCTGACAGAACCAATGGCTCCTGCTTGCTGTATCAGCCAATGAGGGAGCAGAGACCTGGAACAGCCAAGGCTGTCATTCACATCGCTGGATCGCGATGAGGCTCAGGTAAGTATTGAGGGGGCCGGGGGCACTGGTGCACACAAAAGGTTTTTTACCATCATACATAGAATGCATGAAGGTATAGAATCTTCAGCCTTTACAACCACTTTAAGTATGCATGCAAGCCATACATATGTGTTTGCATTTGTATGTGCATGCATGAGGTGGCTTTAAAATATATATTTTTTTAATCTGACTCATAACTTTTTTTTTTCTACTCTTTTCACTTACCTGTATTACTATTACTTACTTTTGAACACTTATAATACATGCCTTTGGATGAGACATAGTAGAGTTGTCAGGTCTGTCATTTTTCCACATAATTGCTTCCATACTTTCTAAGTCACTGATCTGCAAACAGCATGCAAACAGGGCTCTTTTCTGGATCTCGTTATAGGTCAGTAACTTATACAGTATCGAAGCCCTAAGATCAATAAGACATTCTAGGAACTAGGATAGCGGCAGCAATGGAAGAATCCATATTCCCTTAACATTTCTTTAAAGCTAGCTGATCTAGAGTAAAAATTTGACTTCAGGTCCACTGCTATACAGGTCTTCCTGTGTGTAAGAAAACCCACTCTATCTGTCATCTTATGCAGGCTCAGACTGAGTCCAAGCAGCTGATGTCTTCTTTCTGCTTCATCTTGCTTGCTGGGGAACTGTGTGAAGCGGAAACCCTGGATGCTTAACCAGAAACAGCAAATTGGCACAACTGATTGGCTCCTAGAGCTACCCCTTCCTCTTAGTGTTGCTGTGCAGGGGATTGCAAGAGGTTGATATGTCAAAATCCAACACCTACAATATTTGCATTCAAAAATAAATGTATTTTTTACTAGTTTATTTTTCTAATCTGCCAAAAGATGAAGGTAAAGGGTACTTTAAAATCTTAAAGAAAGCTGCTGAAAACTGTCTGAAAACTTTGCAAATGCTTAACAGCAGCTTATTGTATGCATTGCTCTTATACAAGCTGAAGCCTGAGCACACGACCTTTAAAGTGAAGTCTGCAATGAAATGCTAGATTCCTTCCCCCATAATAGCTTTACAATAAAAAATAGTGACAAAAGTTAGTGCATATACTTACTTTCCCCTCAGCTTCCATATTTATAAAAGGTAAAGCTTCAATATTTCTGGTCAATTCCAGAAGAATGTAAGCTGCACCCTGGCAAAGGATTTTGTTCTCGCAATATATAGGATACTCAGCATTTCTGCAGGATGTGTTTTGCATTTGTACTGCAAGGTCTGCTTTAAAGTTTAATGATTGGATGGGTCGTCTTCCAAGGGGCATCCAAGTAGATGCCCCATGGAAGATGTCCCATTGAATAAAATGTGTAGGGTGAGCCTAGCGTTGACATCATCATGTCTGGTATGAGGATCAGTGGGCGCTTGTGCTATGCTTTTGGCTTGCTGTTTGTTTGTGAGTACATGCAATTTTATTTTAATAAACAGTATTAACATACTTCACCAATGGCATTCTCATTCATTATCCTTGAGTATGAATATTTATTGCTCAATCTATGTGGGAGAAAAATCCAGTGGTGATCTGAATACTGTCATCTGAAGCTGAGAGGTGCCAGGGTTTAACTGTGGCTAAAATCTTTCCATCCACTCTGGATTTGTCCCCAAAGCATTGTCACCTCCCTATATTTGAGGATGGAGGATCTGGTAAACAGCTGTCTGTCTTTCATGGTGGCTGGAGCGCAGCACTGCAATTAGTGCCTGAGGTGTCTGAACACAGATTGATGTATGGGACCGCTGTGTGAGGCCCGATTCATGTGATCAGTGATCACATGAACAGTAGTAAACACATCATTGTTTACTACTTGTGAATTCTGTGAATGATCACAGAGGTCACATGGTACAAGGCTATTTACAACAGCCTTGTACCATGTGACAAGCTGTGACCAATCACAGCTCTCACAGTATTTCTCAATGGCTGCAAGAATGCTGCCAGAGAGAAGGAGAAATGATTGCTTTTACAGCCTTTATGTAAAATAAATAAATAAAATATTAATCACTCTCCACAAGTAGTACAGTGTCAGTATGGTGACACTGTACTGTTAGGGTGACGGTATGTAAAAAAAACCCCATAAATAATAATATAAAAAAATAAAATGAAAATGTAAAAAAAAATTTTTTTAAATTATAATTGTTTTTTATAAACTGATTTGGGTTTTTTTTTTTTTTACCAAAACAACAGCTGAATACATTTTGAATTTTTATAAGGTGTATGAAGAAAGATTGTTTATTTGTAAAATGTTACACTTTTAAAAAATGTTTGGTCTGTTTCTTTTATTTAGCAAAAAAATAAAAATCCTAGTGGTGAATAAATACCACCAAAAGAAAGTTTTAGCTGCCTCAAAAAAAATGCTAAACATTTCATTTGGATACAGTGTTGCATGAACGTGCAATTGTCATTCAAAGTCTGACAGCGCTAAAAGCTGAAAATGTGCCTGGACTGGAAGGGGGTGAAAGTGTCTGGACTTGAAGAGGTTAAAGTTGTTTTTAGTTTCCTTTTTTACCAAGAACAAGTGGAGATCCTTTTATACCATAACTTCAGTTTTAATACAAAATTATATTTTGTTAATAGAATCCATATTGTGTTACGCATCATTTTCTAAATTCACAGCTTAACATCTGTACTAGTAGTTAGGTGAGGCAACAAATGTTGATTTTACCTTGTATGGGAGTTTGGTAGACAGAACAATAGCTGTCCTCCCTCAGGACCTCTGATCCAATGCTGTCATTCAGGGACCCAGTGCACAAAGAGTCATCCAAGCGTTCATAAAGGTTAAACTGAACTGTAGGGTATCCACAGAAGCATTCCAGCCCTCGGATAATTGCCAAAGGATATTCCTGTATTCAGAAAACATGAAGATATAAAAATAAACATAAGCCAGCTAGAAAATGCCATCTTTGAAGCAAAATTTGTTACTTTCATTTGATTTATTTAAAATGATGTTTGTCAGCAAATACAAAATAGAATGCTAACACTTCTCTTAAGTAAAGATTAAACGCAAAGCAGGTTTTTTTTTTTTTGTTCCAGTAAGCATTTAGGCCAAAATAAAAATCAAGGTTACCCAACACATTTCACTATAAATTCCAGAATAAAAGTATTAGAGAAATACCATATACTAATAAAATTCCCACTTTGTGTTGGGTGTTGACTGAAAGCACATGGAGGAGATCAAACCAGGCCTTATTAATCAAAGAACTGTCTGTATTGCCCTGTAGCAACCAGACTCAAGCTGTGATTCACTAATGTTCATCTTTTACTATGGGTTTGAACCTGATCGATTTCCACAGGGCAAAGTAGATACTATTAAAGGCATTTTAATTAACTAAAACCAGTGTCTGGTTTATAGAGGCAACAAGAAAAGATGGAGCACTAAATTGCTTGTTATTTTAAAACAAGTCTTTGGTCCGTCAGACAAAGTTGCTTATTACACTGCAGAACAAAAATGGAACAATACTTGCTGTGACTAACAGTTCATAGAAAAATCAGAAAGAAAACAATTAAATATCTATTATGATTATAGAGTAACTATATTTTCGTTATGTTCCCGTAGAGGCTGTTGCCTATGAAGTCCAGCTAGAAGAGCCCAAAGTAGGTACAAATATATTTACTGATACAAAAGTACAGTTGTGGCCAAAATTATTCAACCCCCAATGCTGTAAAGGGGTTTAGGGACTATAGTGTACATTTGGAATTGTATTCAGAATCAAATCCTACAAGGACGTTGTAACTACCCAAATGCAACTAAAATGACATCAATTGTTTATGTAATACAGTAGTAAATGGTTCTTATGTGGTTTCTTCATTGCCACAATTATTCAACCCCTTAAAGACTACCACTCTGAAGAACAGAGGTTCATACAGGTGCTTTCCATCAGGTATTGAAAACACCTGTGGATGTCACCGAGCAGCAATCAAGCATAATAAGCACCAATTAGGCAGCTTTAAAATGACTGTGATACTCAGCTCCTTCTAGACATTTACTGGTGTGGTTACAAACATGGTGAAGCAAGAGAATGGTCCAGGAAGACAAGAGAAGAGGTGATTTCTCTTCACAGGAAGGGCAATGGCTATAAGAAGATTGCAAAGATGTTAAACATACCAAGAGACACCTTAAAGCATCATTCGCAAATTCAAGGCAAAGGGCACTGTTGAAACGCTACCTGGTCGTGGCAGAAAGAAGATGCTGACTTCGACTGCTGTGCGCTACCTGAAGCGTAGAGTGGAGAGAAGTCCCGTGTGACTGCTGAGGAACTGAGAAAAGATTTGTCAGATGTGGGTACAGAAGTTTCAGCCCAGACAATAAGACGCACACTGCGTAATGAAGGCCTCCGTGCCAGAACTCCCAGGCGTACCCCCTTGCTGTCTCCAAAGAATAAGAAGAGTCGACTGCAGTATGCCAAAAGCCATGTGGACAAACCACAAAAGTTGTGGGATAGTGTTCTGTGGACTGATGAAACAAAATTAGAACTGTTTGGGCCCATGGATCAACGCTATGTTTGGAGGAGGAAGAACAAGGCCTATGATGAAAAGAACACCTTGCCTACTGTGAAGCATGGTGGAGGGTCAATCATGCTTTGGGGCTGTTTTGCTTCTGCAGGTACAGGGAAGCTTCAGCGTGTGCAAGGTACCATGAATTCTCTTCAGTACCAGGAGATATTGGATGGAAACGTGATGCAGTCCGTCACACACCCTGAGGCTTGGGAGACGTATGGACCTTTCAACAGGACAATGATCCCAAGCATACCTCCAAGTCCACTAGAGCATGGTTGCAGAGGAAAGGCTGGAACATTTTGGAGTGGCCATCGCAGTCACCAGACTTAAATCCGATTGAGAACCTCTGGTGGGACTTAAAGAAAGCAGTTGCAGTGCGCAAGCCTAAGAATGTGACTGAACTGGAGGCCTTTGCCCATGAAGAATGGGCGAAGATACCCGTAGATCGCTGCAAGACACTTGTGTCAAGCTATGCTTCACGTTTAAAAGCTGTTATAACTGTAAAAGGATGCTGTACTAAGTACTAAGATTGAATGTCACTTGGGGGTTGAATAAAACTGATAATGCTGTGAGCACAGAAAAGACATTTGTGGTTATTTCATTATAACTGTTATGTTATATTTGTCTGACCTACAAGTGCCTCTTTAATGTAAATGTAAGCAAGATGACTGAATGATCAAAAGCAATGTCAAACTGGCCAAAACACTCAATTTCAGTGGGGGTTGAATAATTTTGGCCACAACTGTATATATAAATCACAAACAACAACTCTCTCCAAAATAAACCCTAAAATAAAAACATTTAAAACATGACATACCTGAGTCTAAAGTTCGTCAAATAGTTTGAAAATATATATACAGAGTTTACTAATTAGTGAGCATATAGAACTACACAAATGATCCACTATAATAGAAGCTGAGTATTGTGATAAAAGAAAATAAAACAGTTCAGAAAATCCCCAAATAGGTGTAATTGATTATGTTAGTGGTATCCATTACACTGTACAACAGACTAAAAGTATGTACAAAAAAACATGAAAATGCACAAACATAACTAATTCAGATTTACAAATGCGAATAAGAGAGGCAGAAAAGGTGTATGAGATTCAAAAGGAGCAGTGACATGACATGGAGATGAAAAAGGTAATACCCCAAATTCTCAACTCAGCAAGAGTAGACTATAGCCAGTCATAGTATGTAGGCCATATGAGGAAGTGAAACGCCAACATTAAGATGCCCCATGTATTTTGCAATTAAGCCACTGCCTCGGGAGAGAATATTAACTGTACAAAAAAGGAGAGCAAGGAAAAGCCGGAGAGTCCACCAGAATTAAATATAGAGTGAGGTACCTCCAGAAATACCTGGTAGGATGTTGCCTAAAACATACAATGAAAAACCAAGGAGAAATAAACTAGGCTACACACCTAAAAGGCTAACCTCAAAAACATGTTTATTATCTCATTGAACCATACAAAGTAAAAACACATTGCATTGGGGATCTAAAAACCACTCCCAACCATAACCCCCACCCCACCCTTTGCATAAAGGGGGACCTCCCACAATGGGCACCCTAAAGATAGTACCTGAAGAAGTCCCAAAGTAGACAGGATGAAATGCATCAGTGTGGTCTCTCGCCCCCTCCCTCCATTCCCCACACACTACCCACACACTGCATGATGTCTCCTTAGGACTCTATATGCATAGACACGGCATCTCCCTCCATGATGCACAGTTGACAGCCACAGTTGGATGATTAGCGGAGCCTCTACAGGACATGGCCTCATCATTGGGTCTATAAGCTTGACTTACAGGACCTTGCTGGTCCCAACACACAGTGAGTACTGGCGACCTGGTGTTGTTATCTAGGTTGTATCAGCTGTGTAGGCGTGTGCAGACTGGACTGGTTACACACATCGAGGTTGCTGTGGCAGGTTGCTGTGGCAGGTATTTAGTTCCACTGGCTGTGTCACCATCCATGTCCTCACTATCTATACATTGATTGGATTTCATTTTGGAGGCTTTCCATTACAGACTGCTGCAGTATGCTTATGCCTGGTAATCAGCCTGTCTCCATATTTGCAGGCTGTATGTGCATATTCATTAACTTTATCCCAGTGGACACATCTTGCTGGACATTATTGTTAGGACCAGGGGCAGACTGACCATTTGGAAACTCGGGCACTGCCCGAGGGCCCAGGGTCAGTATGGGGCCCAATGAGATGCCCCTGGTACCTTTTTCATAGGCTTTTTTGAGTTTGGGCAAGAACACAGGGGCCCCATGATCCCCTATTGCCTGGGGGCCCCATGAGTTGTCAGTCCGCCCCTGGTTAGGACTCTCATTTTTCCTTTGGATTGGCCTGAGCCAGACTGTGTGCGTCTATAGACACACAAAGCGTGGCTCCCCCCCCCCCCCCACTCCTTCCTCTCTGGATCTGACTGACAGCAGCAGGAGTCAATGGCTACAACTGCTCTCAGCCAAACTTGTGAGAGCATGGAGAGGGGAGAGAAGAACTGAAGCTGGCACAGCACTGGGTCGATACAGGAGTCAGGTAAATGTTAGGGAGGGAAGCTTGGGGGTACTGCTATTGTAAGTTCTTTACCTTTATGTAGAGAATGCATTTAGGTAAATAAACCGTTTACTTTTACAACCAATTTAATAGTGAGGGAATACATTGACCTGCTGGCTAGTCCAATTTATGACAGAACCCTGATCTACTGTATTTTGCAATACCAAAATAAGTGAAAGTAAATGTTTTTATTCTTTTACCAGTAATTCAGTTAAAGTTTAGACTATTTCTATATCATTTCCTTTTTGCTAACTAATTTTATAGTGACTGGATAGTTTACCGTATTTTTCGCTCCATAAGATGCACCTGACCATAAGACGCTCCTAGGTTTTAGAGGAGAAAAACAAGAAAAAAAATATTCTGAACCAATGGACTGCAGACACAGTATAGGGGATGACCAGAAACTGCGGACATAGGACAGGAGATGACCATAGACTGCGGACATAGTACAGGAGATGACCAGAGACTGCGGACATGGTACAGGGAATGACCAGAGACTGTGGACACAGTACAGGAGATGACCAGAGACTGTGGACATAGTACAGGGAATGACCAGAGACTGTGGACATAGTACAGATGACCAGAGACTGCAGACAGTGCAGGGGATGACCAGAGACTGCGGACCTTTGGGGAGGGAGGGGGAACGGGTACCTGAATTTGACAGGTACCCGCTCCCACTTCCGTGAAGTTGTCCTTCCTTCTTCTTCCCGCGGCGGCTTCTGTGACAGCCGGGTGCCCACTGCGCATGCGTGAGAAGCGCTGCGCTTTGTGAATGGCCTGGAG